ATGTATTTACTTTCGCTAATTTAAATATTTCTTCAAGTGCGCAGGTTGTAGGGCGTTGAATAGCAAGTGGCATGAGAGCGAATGGGAGGAATATTTCAAACACAGAGATCAAGGCGTACCTCTGTGGAAAAAAAAATATATATACGCCTGATAGCTGGCCTCCGGGCCTTGATGTTGTGTTTCTGAACTTGAGAATAAGCACCTCACACTGCAAGTGCACGTGCAGCTTCTAACGGTACAATAGAAGATTCTTGGCAGTTAACTCGCAGAAACTAGTGAAATGAGAAATAATGCCGTTTTCAAATAAGTGAGTAGTGACTCAAATGCCTACAGTTGGTCAGCCTGTCTGTCACCAGAAAATACATCAACATATGTAAAACTGAACCCTGTGATTACGTCAGTCCGTACGCAAAACACCGTGACCTTGTGTCCGTGACCCCCCGGAGCCTCTGCAAGGGTCAGCGCATGCAACTAGAAGAGCATGTGATGTGTTACTGTTTCAACGTAACACACTACATCTACGTCACTTGCTGGTTTTGTTTGGCACGCCAGTAATAATCAGGAAACTTAAAGATGTGTGTGTGATAAAAGAGATGGTTTAACAAATGCTCGGTTAACATCGTCAGTGTCTTAACACAACGTCCAATTTGATGCAAAACAAAAACTACCGGCTTGTGGGTTTCTAAACAGCTGGAGGGACATGGACACTAAACAACGCACGCAACACTCTAGGCCTGTTCAATTAACGCAGTCAAGAAACACTTTCATTTTGTATTGAATTTAATTTAAATGTGAGTTCTTGCGTACACGGTGAATTTTTCGGGGTTCAATTAAAAGTGGATAATGTATAACTAGCTGAGCGACTGTTAGTTTTATCAGATTATCAAAAACGCCTACATTCTGTGGAATTATTTTAATTTATACAGCATATCGGTAATTTATTACTCACCCTTTAATAGGGATGTTCCCTGACAAAACGAACCTTAAGAGAAAAAGCCGTTGTATTTAATTCATTTACAGATTGTCACGGCAGTGAAAAATTTGATTGTGACTTTCGGGTTATGATACTGTACAGTCTTATAAAGGGATTGTCAAGGTTTCGGAGCAACCACCTACAAGGCTGCACGACATCACAACTGGAAGGCCACAATCGAAGTATTGAAGATGGCTGTCTTCTGGGTTGTTGCGCCGTGTAGTCTGGTAGAAGTTTACAGACGTTTCAGAGGTCCTTTCTGCCCCCAAAATCAGAGCGATGAGTCTACCAGACTATACGGCGCAACAACCTAGAAGACAGCAATCTTCAAATCCACCGCCGTGAAAACCTCAAATCCTACACATCAAAAACTGTTTGTGTCCATTTAATGTGGTGGAGTGAGTGATATGTGAGGAAGATGATGAAGGGTGATTTGGGAGAGATCTGTAAGGAACTGGTACAACCTAATCGAAGGAGCTATTCTGGCAGTGGTCTGAATGCACGATTATTTATGAAATATAAGAAATCACTCACAATAGCAGGCACTTCGGCCGATATCCGTACCGGAAACAAATCATAAATTACCGCTTAGGTAATCTGCTAGATAGTTTAAAACTCACAGCAACTCACATTAAATTAAGGTTAATTTTACAGCAAATTTTCATTCACTAAACCTAGCCCGTTTAAACATGAAATAACGATGAACTCTAATCCAGTAATAGTAACCCGTACAAAAATTGACCGTGGTTCTGCGTAAATGGAAAGTTTTACCTTAAAGACCATTAAACCAGTTTATACAATCAGAACTGCAATTAAAAAACAGAAACTTATCTTTTAAAATTCCGTTATATCTAAATTATTACATACAGATAAAAATTCATTTATGGGTAGTCATTTATTCTATACGGAGGGAAAAGCAAGAAATATAAAATAATAATTACACAAATAGTTTAAGTAATCGTGTGAAAAATTTCTGCTAATAGACTCTGTACTTCTCCAGTACTAAACCTTGTGTGATACGTTTGTTACAACATGGCCTATGAAGATCGGTTTATGCATCGTCAAAATTATCGTTCCTCCTAGCCCACAGCTGTTGTCAGTTAACGCAGTCTGGCGGGACTGTTAATTCATCGTATCGCAACTTTAGCAGAGTCCTTGAGGAGTTAACAGTACACGTCAAGAAAATCCCCACCCTTTATGGAACTATAAGTTGCATCACCGTGTTCACAAATGCCCGCCATCAGTCCCCATCCTGAGCCAGATTAATCCAACCGACATCGCAAACCCCATTTTCCTAAGATTCGTTTGTATATTATCCTCCCATCTAGCCCAGGTCTGCTGAGTGGTTTCTTCCCTTCAGACTTACCAACCAAAATTTTGCACGCATTTATCATGTTCCCCAAGCGCATTACGTGTCTCGCCTGTCTAATCCTCCTCTACTTGATGAGTATAAATTATAGAACTCCTCATTATGCACTTTTACCAGCCTCCTGTAATTTCATCCCTCTTTGGTCCAGATTTCTCCTGTTCTCAGCATCAAGTGAGCCAGACTCTGGTCTTAATGGGTTATTCACTCCACCATTTCGTACTGTTTATTTTATCGAAATAAAACAGGATGGGCCGCAAGTCGCAGACGAGTAGATACCACTCCTGTTTTTTATTCGGTTTGGGTTCAAATCCCGGCCCTGAGACTGGCTTTCTTGAGGTTTTCTATCATTCTCCTCAATACCTCCAGGCAGATAGAGATTAGAACCTTAAATCGGACTTCTACGGTTTCTTTCCGTCTCTTCCAAATCATTATTCATTAATCATCCTATCATTCGACGCTATACAGTCCGTGCTACTGACAGCGCCATTAACTAAACCATTTAGGTAGTCTCTAACAGGAATGTTCGTATTTAAACATCATGGCTATCGGCGAGATGGTTTAAAGTCCACAAAGAACATACACGGAAGATACATTTGCGTGTGTACGTGAAAACGAAAGATTTATTTTGTACGATTTGAGGTTCTCACGGCGGTGAATTCGAAGATGGCTCTCTTCTGGGTTTTAGCGCCGTGTAGCCTTCATGATGGTGCCAGCAAGGACCACTTAAAAACGTCGGTAAACTTCTACCAGACTACACGGCGCTACAATACAGAAGACAACCATCAACAGACTTGTTTTCTATATCAACCAAGATTTTGGGTCGTATCAGTACCCTTTTGCTGTTTTATCCAGTACAGAGTACTTCACGCCTTACAATAAAACACTAATGGCATCATAGGTCATCATTTAGTTGATAAGATGCCATGCAAGATTTTAAACAATTGTCTTTATGACGTACATCGGTAACAATTCAAATTAACCATACATGGAATTTAATCTGTAGATAAGAAAAATATGCCTAACTGGACCAGGCAGTGTTAGCATTAGTGTGACTAAACTGTGTTCACGATAACGCGTCTCAAAACTGAAGTCGCAGAGAAGAATAAAATTATTGCGTAAATATAAGGATGATTTCAAAAATATGTTCGCGAGAAAGATTTAAAAAAAAGCACTAGACACTAAGACGCAGAAGCAGATAAATTAGCCACGCTGTGCCTCAAAAAGACATTTTTTTCTTTCAAATATTAAATTCGGTGAACATCATATTTATTTTTATTCGCGTATTATTTAAGAATTAATCAGAAACAGATAAAAAGAGACCATTTTAACGCTGTATCATTTGTTACAAAACTTATAAAACAAACTACAATTAAATCCATTGTTCTGATTTCATACAAAAAAATTATAAACCACAAATAAGCAATTATTTATATATAATACATAGATTACGACTTTATTATCGTGCGAGACAATTTTAACGGGCATCTTCATTTCTTGGTTTATTTCAGAAAACTGTGCCATAAGACCAGATTATATTTCGCTGCGTGGTTGTGAGTGATATGGGGATATATATGTGGAACAGTTGTAAGTCATGAAATGTACTAGCAGCCCCAACATTGCTTATGTATAAATGAGTACTTTGCTGACAAAAGAATAACAGATTACATAACACAAAGGTAGATGATTTACAAAATATTATAATATACCTGTATAAAGCTAGGCGTACATGTGAGAGAGAGGTTATCATGATATAATCAAACTGGATCTGAGAAAAGTGATTACTGCACGGTTCCATAAACGTCATGCAACCCAAAGTTGAATGTCGACTTACTTCCCACCCATCCTGTATATTTGTTTATTTTTTATTTGTAGTGTTCTGTCTGAAGACAGGTCCATATGAACAGGATCCTTCCATCCTTTTCTCGGACTGGTACCTGTTCATATACGTTCTTGGCAGATGATCCAGAAGTGGTTTGCCATTGCCTTCTTCTGTGTGTGAGTGGAGTAATTGTTGGGATGCCACGGAGAAACCGGGGAAGCCCCCGGAGGAAAACTCCGTGTTGCCTA